CATTTACATTTAAGGTAATTATTGATCTGTATGTTCCTATTCCCATTTTCTTAATTGTTTTGGGTTTGTTATTGTAGGTCTTTTCCTTCTCTCGTGTTTCCAGCGCAGAGAAGTTCCTTTAGCATTTGTTGTAAACCTGGTTTGGTGGTCCTGAATTCTCTTTTGATTTCTCTGTCAAATCTGAATGAGATCCTTGCTTGGTAGAGTAATCTTGGTTGTAGGTTTTTCCCTTTCATCACTTTTAATATGTCCTGCCACTCCCTTCTGGCCTGTAGAGTTTCTGCTGAAAGATCAGCTGTTAACCTTATGGGGATTGCCTTGTATGTTATTTGTTGCTTTTCCATTCCTGCCTTTAATATTTTTTCTTTGTGTTTAATTTTTGCTAGTTTGATTAATATGTGTCTTGGTGTGTTTCTCCTTGGGTTTATCCTGTATGGGACTCTCTGTGCTCCCTGGACTTGACTGACTATTTCCCTTCCCATGTTGGGGAAGCTTTCAACTATAATCTCTTCAGATATTTTCTCAGACCTTTTCTTTTATTCTTTTTCTTCCAGGATGCCTATAATTCGAATGTTGGTGTGCTTAATGTTGTCCCAGAGGTCTCTGAGACTGGCCTCCATTATTTTCATTCTTTTTTCTTTATTCTACTCGTCAGCAGTTATTTCCACCATTCTATCTTCCAACCCACTTATCCGTTCTTCTGCCTCAGTTATTCTGCTATTGATTCCTTCTAGAGTATTTTTAATTACAGTTATTGTGTTGTTCATCACTGTTTGTTTGCTGTTTAGTTCTTCTCGGTCTTTGTTAAACATTCTTATCTTTATTCTATTTCCAAGATTTTGGATCATCTTTACTATCATTACTCTGAATTCTTTTTCAGGTATTTTGCCTATTTCCTCTTCATTTATTTGGTCTTGTGGGTTTTTATCTTGCTCTTTTGCCTGTAAGATATTTCTCTGTCTTCTCATTTTGTCTAATTTCCAGTATTTGAGGTTTCCTTTCACTAGGCTGCAGGGTTGTTCCTCTTGCTTCTGTTCTCTGCCACTGGTGGTGGGGTTGGTCCAGTGTCTTGTGTAGGCTTCCTGATGGGAGGGACTGGTGCCTGCATTCTGGTGGTGGAGCTGGGTCTTTTCCCTCTGATGAGCAGGGCCGTGTCAGATGGTGTGTTTTGGGGTGTCTGTGAGCTTAGTATGACTTTAGGTTTTCTGTGTGCTGACGGGTGGGTTTGTGTTCCTATCTTGTTTGTTGTTTGGTGTGAGGCATCCAGCACTGGGAGCTACTGGCAGTTGGGTGGAGCTGGGTCTTAGATTCAGATAGAGGCCTCCATGAGAGCTCTAGGTGATTAATCTTCCCTGGGGCTGGGAATTCTTTAGTAGTCCAGCATCCTCGACTCAGTGCTCCCACTCTGGAGCCTCAGGCCTGACTTCTGGTCGAGGGACCAAGACCCCACAAGTCGCTCGTCCCAGCGATAAAGGGGATTCCAAAAAAAAACACTAACAAAACCCCAGACAAATTGTAAAGAGTAAAATCAAATAAACACAAACAGAAACAAGGAAACACACAAACACACACACACACACACACAAAACAAAAAACAGAGCCAGATAAATCAAATAGCAAGAGACCAGACAAACCAAAGAACCCAAGAACAAAATCAAAGAATTAAGAAGAAAGCTGACAAAAACTCAAAACCAAAAAACAAAACCAAAGCAGAGTGCCAACTGAAAGATAAAGCAAAGAAACAAAACAAACTGACAAAAATGATATTTAAAAAAGAGAAAGGGGAAAGAAGACAGAACAACAGAAAAGCAATGTAGAAACAAATATAAAAAAATAAAATAGAAAATATATTAAAGAAAAAAAGGAACAAACAAAACCCTAGAGAAATGGTAAAAGCAAAATCAAGCAAACAAAAACAGAAACAAGGAAACACATACACATAAAAGAAACAAAAACAGCTAAATACAACAAAAAGCAAGAGAACAACCAGACAAATAGAAGAACTCAAAAATGAAATCAAACAATTAGGATTAAAACTAACAAAAACACATAACCTAAAAACAAAACCAGAGCATGTGCCATGCCAGCCAACTGAAGAATAAAGCAAGGAAACAGAGCAAACCTATAAAAATGATTTTAAAATAATAATAATAATAAAATAAAATAAAAAGGGAAAAAAAACAGGACAACAGAAAAGCAAAGTAGAAATAGAAATATATTAAAAAAAGAAAAACACATTAAAGAAAAAGATGAAAAGAAGGGGAAAGAACACAACAGAAAAGCAAAGTATAAATAGAAATATATTAAAAAATAAAAATATGTTATAAAACATAGAGATCCCAAAAGATTAAAAAAAAAAGAAACAACAACAAACAAAAACAGAAAAAGAAACCAAAAAAAAATCTAGAACCAACAACAGAAGGAGTCAAAACATAATAAAATTAATAGTAATAATTATGTTTCCCTGGGGTCTCCACGGTAATTGTCCTTGCACACGCTGTGAACCACAGCCTAAGAGGCTCTCCTCTGCCTCTGTGCTGGTCTCTGGACCTGCTGTGGGCCCTGTGGGTACCACTCTGACTTTGATCTGGCCCAATTCCTGTGTGCACTTGCCCCCAAATTCCACAGCTGCCAGAGCTAGACCATTTTCATTTGTGGGAACACTCACTGTCTACTCAAATATTCCATAGATGCAGGGTCTACCTAGCTGATTTCAGGGATTTAATCTGCAGCTTGTACAGCTAATGGAAAGATTTTCAGTCTTCTTCCTTAGTCACCCCATCCCTGAGTTTCAGCTTTGGTTTTATCCCCATCTCTACATGTGGTCCACCCACAGGTGTCTGGTCCTGAGGCTGCCTTGGAGCTCTTGGGTCAGCCCCGGGAGGACCAGGCACAGAGGTGGTATGACTGCTTGGATTGCAGGAGCCCTGGTGGCACCAAATGTGCAGGGAAGCCAGCAGCTACAGGCAAAAGAGATATGGCCCTAGTGAGGGCCTTTTCTGGCACCCAGCGTAATATGTATGAGGGCCAGCCCTGGCCGGGGTTTTTCTGGCACCCAGCAGCAGGTGTGTGAGGGCCAGCCCTGAAAGGGCTTTTATTTTTATTACCCTGCAGTCAGTGCGTGAGGGCCAGCTCTAAAGGGGCTTTTTTTATTGCTCAGCAGCCAGTGCACAGGAGCCATCCCTGAGCAGGCTTCTTTTATTGTCATTGTCAGGTGCTGGCATGTGGGAAGAGGCTACAATAGTGGCTCCTCCACTTACATGTGACTCAGCAATAGTGCCCTGCTTCCATGGTAGTCTGGTCTTCCTCCATAGGCATTCACTGCTGTGGATTTTCTCCTTCCTGTCTCCTCAGTCCGTCTCTGCACAGCCAACAGCAGTTCTCGCTCTGGACCTGTTCTCCAATCCCCACGCACCAACTCCCAGCCCCCTTGCACACCTGTGAACACATGTCCTAGTCTGGGGTATGTAGGGCCATGGTATGGACCATCTGTATTTCTTACTCTGTCCTGTCTGCCACAGATCAGCTGTGTCACCTCAAATGCTTCCCTTCTGTCCCAATTGATTTCCCCGTCAGAGAGGGGGTTTCCCCAAATTCAGGAATCTCTCTGCTTCAGCTCCCCAACCCCAGGGTGCTGGTCTCATCCCGCCTTCTCCCTCCTCCTCCCTTCTTTTTTCTGTCCTACCCAGTTATGAAGGGATCTTTATAGTCCTTTCGTCCAAGGTCTTCTGCTAGTTTTCAGCTGGTGTTCTGTGAGAATTGTTGCATCTATAGATGTAGTCCTGCTGCACCCATGGAGAGAGATGAACTCCACATCCGTCTACTCCACCACCATCTTGAATCTCCTCTCCTAATGTTCTTAACCTCAAAAAGTTGCAGTATCCAAAGGGCTCATTTCTTGGACCTCTTTTCTGATGTTCTGGAAGACTTCATATGGTCTCATAGTTTTAAATGCCATATATAGGCTAGGAATGTAAAATTTATAAACCAGCACAGGCTACTCCTGTGCTGAACTCTAGATTCACATTTCTAACTGCTTACTCAATATTTGTATTCAGATGTCTAGTTAGCAATTCAAATATAGCACATCCAAAACTTAACACTTCATTTACCTTCTCCCAAACATGGTTCTACACTTTTCCCTATCTCAGTAAATGTCAACTCCACTCTTCTAGTTTCTCAAGTTAAAGAGTCTCACTCACACAACATATTGAGTCCATTTAGGAAGTCTTGTCCATTCTACCTTAAGAAGTTATCCAGAATCCAGTACCTTTTCACCACCTCCACTGCTACTGCCCTAATAAAAGCCATCAGCATCTCCCTCCTGGGGTACTGCAATAGCTTCCTAACTGCTCTTCCTACTTCCATGCTTGTTTCCCTATACTCTCTTCTCCCCATAGCCAAGAGTAATCTTTTAAAAAACATAACATCATGTCACTCCTCTGCTCAAAACTGTCCAGAGACTTCTCATCTCTTAGAATAAGGAGAAAAACTTTGCCATGGCCCTATGTGGCCTGACCTTCCATTGTTTTCTGCTCATGCCTCCTACCACTCTCATTGTACTCACCATCAGCATATCTTGCCAACTCTATTCTAGCCATATTGGCCATTTTATGGCTCCTCAGACATGCCTAAGTTCTATTACACTTGCTGCCTGCTCTTCCTGTAAGTCATTTCCCTCAGATATCTACAGGGCTCACACCTTCACCTCCTTCAGTTCTTTGCTCAAATATAGAAGGCTTTCCCTGGCCACCCTATTTAAAACTGCAAATCACCCAAGTACTCCATATGCCCCTCCTTCCTGACTTATTTTTTTTTTTTTTTGCATAGCACTTACCACCTTCTGGTATGTCATTTAGTTTATTGTCTCTCACCCAACTTGAATGTTAGGTCCATGTTGGCAGACATTTTTATCTGTTTTGTTCACTGATGTGTGCCCCATGTCAACAGGAAATTTGTTAAATGAATGACTAATATTTTTCATTTTAATACTTTATCAGGTGCTACACAGTTTATGGCTGACCCCAAGCTCATGGATCACGGGCAGTCCCATCCAGAAGATGTAGATATGTACAGCACTAGAAGCTGAAATAGTCTGCATAGAGAACTACAAGATGTGTGAAGTTGCGAATAACAATGAAAAAATTCGTAATGGGTAACTGATGCATGGAGTATAATTTAAACCAAGTTTTTCCCTTACATCTTCTAATGTACAGTTAGACAAATCACATAAGTGATTAAAACTCAAATTGGATACAATCCGAACAATACTAAATGATCGATGAGGAGGCAGAGGGAAAAGTATTAGGATGCATTTGGTGATTTTTAAGGGTATTTATAAGAAAATAAAAAATATATGAACACTGATGAGACTAAAATCTGAAAAAATATGTATGTGTGTATATAATTATGTATATATATGCACATATATATTTGCTTAACTTTTATGAATTAATGTCAGCTAAATTAGAATTGTGTGTGGAAGGATGTGTTCCCTCCCCCTCTGTTTTTCATTTCCCAGAGCTGGAATAAAATATCCGTATTTTATGACACTTGGGCTTGGCTTTGTCTCTGTTTTATTAATGTTAACTCCTCTTAAATGTCCCAAAATACCTCTCACTATTTGAGAGGAACATATGCTACATGGGACCACCAATGCTGCTTAGCATTCCTTCTACTGGTTCCTGGGTGGTTTCCTATTCTGTTTTCCAGGAGAGGCATTACAGACCTTTTAGTCTCAAACCTCCTGTACCTGCCAATGATGACTGTCTCCTATTACGTAGAGAAAAAAATAAGTTATTACACATAGTTTTTCTCAACTTCTTCCCATCTACCTTCAAGACTTACCTCTTTTCAGCCATTCATACCCCTTTTCTAAAGCTAATGCTTCTATTTGTGTTCCTGATCTCCTCCTTTCCTATCTTTTCCAATATCATATTCCATCCCATTTAATCTTCAGTCTTTGGTTTCTCTTTTCATTCATTTTGTTTCCTCAATCTCTAAATAGCTTCGGATCTTCTTTATCCAAAGACAGCAGTAACAAAAACCTTTCCCCAACTCTACCTCTTCCTCTTGAGCTATCTTTTCTTTCTCTTTCCTATGATTTTCAGACTTCATAAAACAGTAATTAATGTCACTTTCTTACTTCCTCACTTTCAATTACTCTCTAAGTTGTGACATCTTGGCCTCTATACCTACTTGAATGTTCTGTAATGTTTGACTCTTGACCGCTCCCTCCTACAATTCAGTCCTCCCTTTGGTGTCATTGCTGCTCCTCTTGTTATTCTTCATTCTTCTCTTGCTCTGAATTCCTTAAATGCTGAGGCTCCTCAGGTTGCATTTCTAGTCTTTTCTCATTCTGTGCTCTCTCATTTCCATTCAACATACTTTACTGACTTCAGCTACCATTTATATGTCATTATTATTTATATTTCCAGCTCCTGTATTTCTCCAGAAGTGTATACCTATCTTTCTAATTATTTGTTAGTCATATCCACCTTATATTCCATAGATATCCTCAATGTCAATAGACTTAAAACTAAATTGTCTCTACATCTCTCTCATTTCTGTGTTTCTCAAATCTTTTCTACCTTCTCTAATCCTTGCTCTCATTCAAGTCTTCTTCATCACTTTCCTGGATTACTATAGTAGCCTCTGGTTAATCTGCCTGATATCAATCTTGCTTTTTGTCACTTAACAATGCATTCTCCTTATAGGTAACAGTAAACCAGTTAACTGTAGCTTAAATAAGTGAGAGTCTATTTAAAGTCTGGGAATTGGTCAGTACAGGGTTGGTATAGTGGCTCATTGGTATCATCAAGGATCTAGACATTTTCTCTTTCTACTCTGCTCTTTAGCATGTTGATTTGTCACCTCATGATCACAAAATGGCTCCTATACCTCTGGGGAACACATACACACTCAGAGTAAGAAGAAGGGTTACAGAAACTGTACCAGATGCTTCTGACCCCCTTTTATCAGAGAAGTGCTTCCTCAAAAGACTTATGTCTATATCTTGACCAGATTTTGTCATGTAAACCACATTTAGCTCAAGGAAGATTGGCAAATCACATTTTTGTCTATGGAGAGAAAGGCAAGGGGTAAGGGATTTGGAATGGATGTTGAGTTTAAGCTAACACACAGTGTCTGCCACCTTGTTCTTCTAACCCATCTGTCATATTATTATGACATAGTTATGTTTCTAACAACTGTTATGGGTAGTTGTCTTCCTGAAGTCCTCAGTGGCTAATCATTGCCTACAGAATCAAATCAAGACCCTTTAGTATGACATACAAAGCCCTTCATATATGATCCCAACTAAACTTTAATCCTTCCTTCTCCCCACCCACCCTACTGCCAATGTATGTTATATTTTATCTATAACTTACCCCTTGGTTCTTGAACATGCTTTGCTATTTTATGTCTCTTTTTCTCTGCCTATGTTGGTGTTTCCTCTTAGGATTTTTTCTGTCTCATCCTGCTTCATTCCAACTTCCTACTCATCCTTCAAACCCATCCTTTCTCAGTTCTCCAAGGTAGGATTTAGATGCTCTCTCCTGTACGTTCCCTTACATTTGGTATTTATAGCTGTGATAGCGCATACATTTTATTATAAAACTAAAACTAGGTTAGTATTTTTTCACTTATAAGGCTCCTTGTGGGTATGACTGAATCATATTTGTGTAGATTTTATGCCCATGAATACCTGGTATGTAGTAGAAACTCACATGTTCTACCATGCTAGTTGTAACACAGAATTATAATTATTTTTGCACCCTATCAAAAAGCTTACATTCTACTAGAAAGGATAGAAGCATACACAAATACAGTGTTCTATGTAGTATCTTCCCTAAGATAGGTACTACAAAAGAACTATGGATGCTCAGAGATGGAATGTAGTTCTGAGATGAAGTTCAGGAGGCAGTGGTCCTTGATCTGCTCAAGGTGGGGAAGCAGTTCACTTGCTAGATTTTTATAGGTAAGCTTTTCAAAATTAAGCTTCAGTATTTTAAATAATTTTTTTTTACCTCACATCTGTTTATGAACAAATGCACCGATATTTCATCAAATCCAAGAAAAAAGTGCTGCCAGGTCACCTTATCTTTGATAAAGGAGGCAAGAATATACAGTGGAGAAAAGACAGCCTCTTCAATAAGTGGTGCTGGGAAAACTGGACAGGTACATGTAAAAGTATGAAATTAGAACACTCCCTGACACCATACAAAACAATAAACTCAAAATGGATTAAAGATCTAAATGGAAGGCTAGACACTATCAAACTCTTAGAGGAAAACATAGGCAGAACACTCTGTGACATAAATCACAGCAAGATCCTTTTTTGTTTTTGCGGTACGCGGGCCTCTCACTGTTGTGGCCTCTCCCGTTGCAGAACACAGGCTCCGAACACGCAGGCTCAGGGACCATGGCTCATGGGCCTAGCCGCTCCGTGGCATGTGGGATCTTCCCGGACCAGGGCACGAACCTGTGTCCCCTGCATTGGCAGGCAGACTCTCAACCACTGCTCCATAAGGGAAGCCCTTTTTGACACACCTCCTAGAGAAATGGAAATAAAAGCAAAAATAAACAAATGGGACCTAATGAAACTTCAAAGCTTTTGCGCAGCAAAGGAAACCATAAACAAGACCAAAATACAACCTTCAAAATGGGAGAAAATATTTGCAAATGAAGCAACTGACAAAGGATTAATCTCCAAAACATACAAGCAACTCATGCAGCTCAATACTGTTGCGGTCCGGGAGCCACATGCCTGGAGTCAAGTTCCCTGGTAAATGCGACCCGTGTCCCAACCAAGGACACCCGAGAATCACCAACACCAAGCAGAAAGATTAGCAAAGGATTTATACAAGTATAGAAGCTTACACAAACTGTCCGGACAGGGTCCCACTCGGAGAGAAGTGAGTGAGACCCCGACTAACAGTCGGGGTAGGCCTTTATACCCTTCACAGGACGGGAAGTTCCCAAGGCGGGAGGGAGCTGTTTAATTTTGAATCAGCCAATCAGGAACCCGGTTCTTCCTGCCCCAAGCAAGTAAGCAAAGCAAGTTTCTTACAGAAGTCAAAATGCACTGTTAGCCCTGAAGCTGTTCTTCCGTTTCTTTCGTCACATCCCCCCCTTTTTCTAGGAACTAATCAAATCCTTGATTCCTGGTCTTCCGTATTCAGGAGGTATGTTTCGTTTTGGGCTAAAGTTTGCCCAGTCAATCCGTCTGTTAGTGTCCACGTAAAAAAAAAAAAGATACCCTCCCACTTGCCCCAGATGTCCCACCCAGTAAAACATAGGACCCCAGCCCAAAATCACTTGCGAATAATGCTCAGCGTTAGGGGGTCCTGCGGGTGAGCCTGTGCTTTCCATTCTGTGGAGTCCTCTTCTGGTTCCTCTGTGGTGCAGTCTCTCTTTATTCTGCTATGATGAATCCAAGTCCGGACACCGTCGACTTTAACAGCAGTCGGGGTACTCAACACAATCAGATGAGGTCCAGTCCACCTAGTCTCCGATGTCTGGGGGTTATGCTTCTTTACCCAGACTAAGTCTCCAGGTGGCAATGTGGGTTCCGGAAATTTTATTTTCAGTTTTTGTACAAAAGGTTTCCAGTGCCGAGGTTTAGCAGGGCAGCGGCTGCAACTTGTCTGACGCATGAGGGCCACCCGGAGGCCACTGGGTCCAGCCGTCTAGAGAGAAAGGCTATCGGCCTTCGCCAGGGCCCAAGCCTCCGAGTTAGTACTCCCCTTGCCACCCCGGCTCACCCACATCAGGGTTGGGGAGTGCCAGAACAGAAGGCGAGGCAAGAGCCCTTCCAATGTCCTGGAAGGCCCTCCCTTGTGTCTCAGCCCAGCCAATCTTCGTGGCCTCGGGGCCACTCCGGCCAACGCCCCCCAGGGCATCGTATAGAGGCTTGGCCAGCTCTGCAAATCTGGGTATCCAGAGCCGGCAATAGCCCGCCATTCCCAAGAATTCTCTCAATTCCCCCCCTTGTGGCAGGGGCTGGCAAGGCCAGGATGGCCTGAGTGCTCTGTCCTCCTTCTAGGATATACCCCAAATAGTCCACTTGTTCTTGACAAATCCGAGCCCCTTCAATTGAGAGTTTATAGCCCAAGTCCTGATGTAACCTTACTAGGCCTTTTCTTCCTGTTAGACAATCCCGC